CTCCAGCATCCCCTTAATGCTATTTTTGTAATTATTTCTAAAATTCTGAGTAGCTGCTTAAGATTTTGTACAGTAGCGCACCTGCGATTCTAAACAAAATCAAGTATCTAATTTGCGTCTCAGTTGCTGCGTGAAATTTGTTCTAAATCAAACAAGAAAAGCCCTCTTCTTAATGAACAGCGGATATCGGTACCCCACCGGCGCCGGCATTGGTCGCGGACTCGTTGACGGCGACGTCGCTGAGCCTCGAATGGAAAGGTGTGGACATAGGCAGACGCGCTGGCATTTCATACCTGGTGCAGTGGAGATACGAAGAACTTGCTGAGACGTGGCAATACTGCCGGAATCAGACATGGGACGAAGGCGATCAGATATTGGTCGAGAACTTGCAGCCGTACACCAAGTACAGGGTAAGGACGAGCAGGGAGTCAAACAAAATTATTACTTGACAAACTGGAAGCGCGGCAATTGAAACGAGAAAAGAAAACTAAGAATATAAGCCATAAACAGGGCAGGAATCTTTCTTATTCAGTTCACTCGTAACAGTAGTTTAAGTGAATCACTTATACGTGTATAAAACGAAACATAAAATGTGCTATTATCCCGAAAGACTTCGCCAACGCACGTTAATCTCGAGCTTAGGCTCGATGTAGGTGGAATGCTCTTAAATTGTTGAATTGTTTCTCCTCTTTGCGGGGTGATGAGTGTCCCTCTGATGAAAGAACGCTGGCGTTTGCAGTTTCGCGTAGCGCTGCTCCTGAAATCGTCGCAGCACAATCCGGAACCGATCGTCTCGGCGCCGAGCGTGGTAATATTAACGTACGCGGCCGGTCTACCGACATCAGCACCGGTAATTGTAAGAGCGGCTGCGGTAGACAGCTACCGCATCTCTGTGTCTTGGGAACCGGGCCCGTTCCCGAACGGCCCACTTTTGTCCTATGTCCTGCGTCTGCGAGGGGTTGAACACTCCCAGCTTAAGGTACACGCCACGCCAGAACACGTATATAGTTTAGAGACAGCGTTTATCCTACGGCAGAAACTGTACTTCAGCATACGCACGGATGTGTCTTTTATTTTTTGCGCACCTCCGTGCGCACAAAAAGAAGCACTTCTTCTTTTCTTTCGACTGCGCACTCTCATAGACATTTTCGCGCGCTCGCAAGGCGCGTCGGCGTCGTCACGCTTTGCTGTATTGTCTAACTGTTGTTTGCAGAAGAGCAATGTGCAACTGGTTCTGCAAGGTAGACCCCGTTACTCCGTTTGAAAAGAATTCATTGGCCGCGTTAATTGACTTTTAATTAGTTGCCTGCTACGGCAATAACAATATTTTTCGTTAACCTCGGTTAGTATATTAATTCTTATTCGGGTATTCAGCGCGTTAAGACTCGAAGCCAATGAATTTTATTTCATACTTCTTCGCTTTCTGTGTCGCATACTAATATCAATTCGCAGAGATTGCACGTTTTCAAGTGTTAATGCTATTCAGTGCGCACGCATTCAATGACAAAATTTCTTAATATTTAGAAAATGCTTGTTTTCTATTCACACATGCAGACTGGATAATTTAATTACTTTCTTTTGCGGAGGAACAGAAAAATAATTGGTGAATCGCATATCGCGAAATTTCTATGTGTGCGCACCGACGTTAATTTTTAGCATTAACATCGATCGCTCGCTGCTTTAACGATAATTCCCTATCGCATCCTTATTAATTGTGCTATCCTCTAACGTTAGTCCGACGACTTGCACGAACCAGATCATCTGCAAAAGTTTCTGGCATGGCGTTTTTAATTTTCCCAACTGCATATCTACTTCCTAGCAAGGGATTCGATAGGACGGCATTTATACGGCCTGTACGATATCTTGTATTTTATTGACAGGATCTTCCGGTCTCCGAGAATACCAATCACTATATGTTTCAAAACCTCGAACCCAGTGAGAATTATGTTATCAGCGTGACTATGAGAAACGGCGTCGGCGAGGGTCCGCCTGCAACTATCAACATCACTATGCCCCCAGAACCTGTCGGTACGTTGCAAGAAAATGCTAATGAAAAGGATCGTATGTAACGACTTTGCGATTAAAAATTATGATTTGGATGCAAGAACAAGGTGGCTTCAGATTTTATTAATGTCATAAAAAAACGCTAATAGGAACCGAAGTATATATTTTTTGTCAACGTCAGTGTTTTCTTGACCTAACGCGTACTTTCACACTGTCTGTTTTAAAGATTCAAGGCACTAACTTGATTGACTTTGTTATTTACGTTTATGACATAAAAATTTACGTTTTGACGTAACTAATAAGATAAATTTTAGTCAAGGACACCCAGCAACCAATTCTCATCCTCGGTGGCGAGCACGTGGTCATGAAACAGGGCGCCGATATGTTGGACGAACCCAGTTTAATTTTTCGAACCACTAACATGATCCGCGGAGTTGCCATACACGTGGCGTCCGATCAGCTATTCGTTTCCACCTCGACGGGTCACGTGTACCGAACTTCGATCATCGAACGAACCGCACCGAAAGTCATTTTGAGCCCCGACGAAATAAACATCAAACCTTTGAGCCTTTCCGTCGATTGGCTGAATCTTCACCTGTACGTCTTAAGAGAGGTAAAACACGCGACGACGGCGTGGCAGATAGCCAGATGCAATCTGGATGGCAAGAGTTTGACAGTGGCTCTGGCTGGAATTATAAATCGACCCTCGCATATCGAGGTCGATCCTTATAACGGATACCTCTTCTGGACAACTAAACTGGGACTGTTCAGATTAGATTTGGCCGATATCAGCAACGGTGTGAAACACGAGGTATTATCAATTATTTCTAATTATGTGCTGCCAAAGCTTTTACTTTTTCTAGTTGTATTAAAAGAAGCAAAATTTTTGTATCTTTAAAATTGATTAATTGTTTTAATATATGCTTGATATTAACATTAATTTTGTTGCTTTTCTTAAAGAAATTAATTTTCAAAGATAATTCATTATGATATTAATGTATTATAATGAAATGATAATTATTTTTAAAAAAATTTCTTGTGTGCGTGTATGTATATATTTTCCTTTTTCTAGGTCAAACCATATTTCATTCTCGAAGATGCTCATTTGGGTGCTTTTACGGTAGACCATACGAACTTTCGATTACTCGTTCCTCATCACATTCAAAACACAGTGATGTCCGTATCACTGGATGGTCGCGAGGTTGTTAATCTTCGCCCCAATACGCAAAATCCGAAATTCAATAATGTTGTTTCCCTAGCTATGGCAAACGGACTGTTCTATTGGACTAATAGCGAAGAAGTCCTTACCGAAGGCTACCATGCTGGCCAAAATAGATACTTCCACAATTCGTATCCTGACAAGTAATATTCTTTTTCTGCAACTTTTCTTAAAAGATTTTCCAAAGGAGTTTTTTTATCTGAAAATATTTCGCATTTATTTTAAGAAATAAACTTTGCGTAATAAAACCTACCTAATAAAGCAGAAATATTCTTTTCTTCAGGTCCGATACCTCCTTTGTGAGCGTGACCGTATACATGAATGCAAGTCAGCCGGTTCCCGTCCCAGTGAACCCACCCACAGGTGTGCAAGCTGTTCTCGGGGCGGAAAGGGTAAAGGTTTCCTGGCAAGCTCCTCATTTATTGGGCGGCCAAGGAAAAGGCGCCTGGCAAAACTGGTCATACGAGCTCGCAATCAAGGACGAATCTACCGGCGAAACTATCCATCAGAAAGGTATCGTCGGATCATCTTATACTGTTCATAATTTGCAAGAAAGATCGGAATATTTGATCAAAGCCGCGGCTTACACGAGCGCTGGCAGAGGACCGTGGTCTACGGAATTCCGGGGACGAACTTTAAGGTAACATTAACAAACAACTTTATTTAGCCGAATTTAACAAATAGTAAATTTGATTTATTAAGTTTCTTTGATTTTGAATACTTTTAAAATATATCGAAAAATTTATATCTACCTACAACATTTAATTATTTCTTGAAATTATTTTATTGAAACTTTATGTGTACAGGACTTATATTCGTCAAGTGCCTATTCACTTTGCCTCAACTATTAATTAAATAAAATGTAATAAAATTCTGCATTTAGAAATGGATCGCGCGCATCTATTTTGTGGTCGTCGAACGAAGGAATTTTGAGAAGCGACGTAACCGGCGAAAATATCGACACGCTTATTAACAAAGCGACTCTGAAGGAGTCCGAGAATGAATTCCATATTGTCGACGTTAGTTGGTACAAGGACGTGCTGTACATAGTGGGAAATAATTCCGCACTATATCGTTATAACGTCAGCAACCATCAGAAAACGAAGCTGAACATACATTCGGTGGGAAGCGTCGCCGTGGACTGGATATCGAAAAAGCTATATTGGGCAAATCCAAAACAGCAAATTGTAAATATAATTTTTGTTCTTAACTCAAGTGCCTAATCGCTTTCATTCAAAATCAATTAATTACTAAGCTCCACTTTGTTACATTTTTTAATGTTGTCTCATGTAAAATAACAATTTTTATATAAAATTAAAGAATATCTAGCAGAATATTTATTAGATTAAAATTCTATGACTGTTATTTAATTCTTTGGCTCTAAAATTTTCATACTTTCTTCAATATTTTATGGAACGGTGTATTATTTCCTATGTACAGATAACAAGAGCAAACTTGAACGGATCTCAGCAAGAGCCGATGTCTATCTTAGCAATCGTGAAAGAACTCATGATCGATTCTCTGGAAGCGTACTTGTACTGGTCCACTGGTCATGCTGTGGAAGTTGCGCGATTGAATGGGCAAGACAGAAGATACTATCATTTAGATGAAATTTTCAATGGCAAACAAGTGATGGGATTAACTCTCGACACTGAAAATAGATATGTCTATTGGATTGTCCGAAGCTACGAAAGCGGATCCATCGTCTATCGTGCACCTACATCCGAGAGAATTCCAATGAGTCACAAAATTATCCCAGAAAAGGTAGTTTCATGCATTTCATTTAATTTTACGAGTATCGTTATTTTTAACAAGTGATAAAATTATAGATTTTGTCGTTTTAATTATTCATCGATGACGCGCAACATTGCAACTATTGAACATGGTCGAGTGAAAACACGAAATAATTATGAGACAACGATCAAGTAAAATAATTAATAACAAATGAAAATAATGATATAAATAATGAAACTTCAGGTTTCGGCTTTGCAACATCCAAATATGCAAGGACCGCTGTGCTATTTTTCCGAGCACCTGCTGTGGCTGCAGGACGACAGGAACGCGGTGATCGGTGATCTCTCCGGTCAGAACACCGCCGTCATCAATGGGATAACTTTGTCCGGCTTGTATATGGTGGCCGTCATGGATCCTGCGCTTCATCAGTATCCGGAAAATCTGACGTCGGAAACCGTGGTGGTTCTGCCGAACGCAGTCGATCTCGATAGCATAAGAGTCGAAGGGACCTGGAGAAACTTCAACATATCCTGGGATCCTGTCAAGAACATCAACTACGGCACGGTCTTCTACGAAGTGAAATTCGCGGATTACATTAATACGAATTCGAACCCGGAAATCACGATTGAAACGACGATGCCCTACAACAATTCGGATCAGATTCTGCCATATTCCGTTCTGGAGGTCACCGTGAAGGCATTTACTTATTGGGAAACGGCGCATCATTCCCGGAAGATCCTGAGATCTCCGCAGAGCGTGCCGACCCAGCCAACATCTCCCAGAGCATTCGTGGAGTTTTACAAGAAGGTCCTAATCGAGGATGTCGACATTTTTACGATATTTAGGTGAATAATCTAGAATCCTTTTGCCGGCATACTCTCATAAACTCGTGCTATATGTATATAAAATCTAACTTTGTTATAGATTCGCAGGAAATAGAAACACTGAAATATCTTATTTTCTTCACAGATGGAATCAACCCGAATTTACAAACGGGGTAATCGAGGGATACACGGTCCAATGTTGGTTCATCGAGAACCAGAAGGAAATGCCAATCTGCAACGACTACAGCATCCCTGCCACGGTACTGGAATTCACGGTGCACAATCTAAGACCCAACATGACCTATTACTTCAAAGTACGAGCGCATACCAAGATCGGCGCCGGTCCTTACACGGATTCAATCAGCGTATCGACCACGCACGAGAATCCGGTGCCCGAATTATTAGTCGCCACGCAGGCGGACGCTGTGAAGATATCGGATCTGGACAAAGAAATTAATTATACGCTCACCAGACACATCGCAACAGAGGTCAATTACCTGACGGCGGAAAATAAGATTTACTGGATCAGCGGGATGCGGGAACTGGTGACGGCGGAGATGAACGGAGCCAACGCGACGAAAATACTCGCTCTAAACAACACCGCGCACAGCCTCTGCATCGACTGGGTGGCAAGAAATCTATACTGGGTGGAACAGGAAAACAAAGACGAGCCGTGGAAAATCAGCAGCTACATCATGAGATTGGATTTAACAATGTGGCAGGCAGGCATAGTCAAATACGACAATATTTTAAGAAGAAGAGGACGTATCCCGATTTTAGATATGCTGCCGTCTCCAGGGTACGCCAATTTCTATCCGTCTGAAATATTTTGTTAGCCATATAGTATGATTTTTTTAATTATTCAAAATATATGCTAACTGTCGTAATCAAGGCGATAAATTACACGAAAGAATAAGACATGAAGTTGTCAAGAAATTGTAGCTTCTATTACGTTTGTTTTAAAATAATCAAAGAAATGCAAATATTTCTGTTTCAGCTCTTTATATTGGATCGAGACGAATGAGGGAGGTACGATAATGCAGTCGGATCTCGAAGGGAAAAACGTGCAATACTTTTTCCGAAACAACGGCAGCAGGTGTACCTGTTCACAAAGACCACAATTAATATCCACGCTGACAATCGACAAAACTAATATCCAAGAACCGATGATGTATTGGGTATCATCGGACGGACATTTAAACGTGGCTGACATTTACGGTTGCGCGTGCAACGTGGTATTAAAGACAAGCTTCAAATCAGCGACTCTCACGGTTGACAAAATAAACATATATTGGTCCAACGAAACGAAGGATCATATTTATTTTCTGAAAAAGGAACGTTCCTTCGTGGCGGACAAGGAAAACTCGTCCGAACCGGAGGTGAAGAGCTTCTATCTGCCCGACGTACGTCGGATCAGGGCCCTCGGCAAATCCCTGCAACCCTATCCCACCGCGAAGTGCCTGATACCTCGCCAAATGAGCTACAATGTCGAGAGAGTGAGCGAAACGGCGAACAGCATCGTCGTCAGTCTTCCCGAGCCGAGTCCTGAACGCGGATGTCAAAGGTATAGTCTACCCACCACGCTGTACATCATCCACGTGTCCCACTGTTCGAAGAACGATCCCAGCAAGTGCGAGGAGACGAGGATGCAGACGTACGAGAGACGTTACGAGATTGCGGATTTGAAGCCATTCACGGAATACAAGCTGAAGCTGGCACTGAGCAATTTCTATGCCGATCTGCAGTCGATGAGGCCGGCGTTCGGCGCGGACGTGGTGCTGAAGACCAGCGCGGGGAGGCCCAGCATGCCGGAAAACGTTACGGTTCGGGCGCTGACGCCGACACTAGCGGCGGTCTATTGGATGCCACCCAAGATACTGAACTCCGCCGTGGTGCACTACGAGGTGCACTGGCGGTCGTTGGACCTCTTGCAGAACGGCGTGCGGCAGAAGGGCGAGCAGCTGATCACAGAGCCCGAGCGCACGGCGGACGGCAGATTTTTCACTACGCTGCAGCCGTTCCTGCCGGGGCAGGAATACCTGGTGTACGTGCGCGTGTACCCTGCCAATTCCAACGATTTCTACAACGAGAGCCGCAACCAAACCATTCGCATGTACCCGGAGCCGAACAACTTGACGATGGCCGGGGCCAGCGTCAACAGCATGAACATCTCTTGGACCCGAAGCGTCAACCTGACGGTCGGCTACCTGTTGGAGTACAAGGACGTTGCGGTGGAGGAGTGGCAAATCGCGCGGCACGTTGAGGTGAACGAGGACCGAGTGATGTATCGTATAGAAGACCTGCAGCCGCGCACCTTGTACAAGTTTCGCTTGAGGCTGAAGTATCCCATGTACAAGGAGGACTTTGTATGGCCGCCTGATGGGAGGTTCACATTCCAAACGTTTGGTAAGCGAACGCTCGAGGTATTAATTCGCATCACAAAAGCGTATTTCAGTATTAGAGAGGTGAAAGGCGAGGTTGACGCGATTAAGTAATTCGAATGGAAGTAGGTATGTTGAAGTAATGCAAAGGAAATTTGAACTCTGTATTCTGTGAAACAAAGGTGACGTCCCGAGCGCTCCGGGGGTGCCTGTGGTAACGAGATTCCGAAATTCGGTGTATCAGTTAAATTGGGAACCCGCGCAAGCTCACGGCTCGCAAGTCACACTGTATCGGCTGGAAGGCTTGGTCGTCGACGACAGTGACAAGCAAGACGATGGGAGTGGCAAAAGTGAACAATGGAATTTATATTACAACGGAACGGACATCTACTGGATAATTCCCGGGGACGTCAATCAGAAGTATCAGTTTCGCGTGCAAGCCAAAAATGCCTACGGTTTCGGCGCATGGAGTAAACCGAGCGCGGTCGTTGATTTAACAGAGTCCGCCGGGGGGATATTGACTGCGCAACAGCAACTACCGACGGTGTATGGCTTCATCGCGATCGGCATTACCATATTTTTGGTGTGCTTTTGTTATTTTTTCTGCCGTAAGTATACTTGGTGCGACGCCCGAAGCTATCGATCGCAGTTAATTTCAATAGAATGGCACTTTTAAAATGACGAATTTGCTAATGAAAGACACTTTAATGTTTAATTACGTTCACGTGGTGATGCGTGATACCAAGACAAGTATAACGTAACGTTATCCAGCAGTGTACCGACAACGGAAAGAAGACAAGAAGACAGTTTTGCCCCCGATAGTGTCCGACGTCGAATTAGCGACCCTCCGCGAGATTCCTCGCGGGAACTTCGTTCAGTCTAACGCACTTTACGCTTCTACGCTGCAAAATGATCCGGATGACTCCGCCCTGCCGAAAATCAGAAAAGACCAAATTACGATGACGAAGTTCCTAGGCAGCGGCGCATTCGGAAAGGTAAGATCTGATCTCGGTAAAAATAATTTTGTAAATCGATTTTGAAGGAACTAAAAAAAATGAAGCATTTTCAGTCCTTGTCGAGTATTGAGAAAATGTCTTCTCAATATTACGAAAAAATTCTCTCCGTGTACCTGTTATAGAATTCATATTAAATCAATCCCAAATATTCCGCAGGTATCCCAAGGGAATGCTATGGATTTAGAAGGACCAGGCATAACGCCCGTTGCCATAAAGACGCTACGAAAGGACGCGTCTTCGCAAGAGAAGACGGAATTCTTGCAAGAGGCCAGGCTCATGAGCCATTTTCGTCACAAGCACGTGCTGAGGTTGCTTGGCGTTTGCTTGGATACGGATCCTCCATTACTAGTGCTAGAATTAATGGAGGCCGGTGACCTGCTGAGCTATTTGAGAGAGAGTCGGTCCCTGCAACCCACAGACTCACACGCTCTGCGTCTGCAGGACCTGCTCGCCATGTGCGAGGACGTCGCGCGGGGCTGCCGCTACCTGGAGGAGCTGCATTTTGTGCACAGAGATCTCGCGTGTCGGAACTGTCTGGTGTCCGCGAGGGATCGCGAGAACCGCGTCGTGAAAATTGGCGACTTCGGTCTAGCCAGAGATATTTACAAGAATGATTATTACCGCAAGGTAAACGCATTCGTTTGTAAAAGATGAAGAAACTTCCTATATATAATATATAAGTTGACCTTCCTTATTTTACATCATAATTTGTCTTGAGCAAAGCTTAAGAAAACTAATGTTTCCCATTTCCGAGCAGGGGAGCGAACGATTTAACACTCGCTTCGGAGATGGATCTCGAGTAAACGAATTAACTCGCTGCTAAACTTTTAGGAAGGAGAAGGTCTGCTACCCGTACGCTGGATGGCGCCGGAATCCTTGGTGGACGGGGTATTCACCTCGCAGAGCGACGTTTGGGCGTTCGGCGTGTTAATGTGGGAAATCACGTCGTTAGGCCAGCAACCCTATCCCGCCAGAAATAATCTCGAAGTGTTGCATTACGTGCGTGCGGGCGGCAGGCTGCCGAAGCCCCTCAATTGCCCGTCGACGTTACACCAGCTGATGCTGCGCTGCTGGAGCGCGGCGGACGCCAGGCCGAGCTTCAAAATTTGTCTCGAGAGCATCGTCATCCTGAGGAGTCACATAGAAGACGCGGTGCTGAGCCCCGTGCACGCTGGACACTATCTGGCACGCAGAGGTGAATTGACATTAATCTTTACATGCGCGCATATCACTGCATGGAGCAAGGAATCTTTGCAAACGTATAGAATGTCGATTGAAATTTTTTTTTTACTTCTCATTACGTATCCCGATAGGAAAATATTTAGCAGATTATGTAACGAAATTTGGATGAAACTTGGAATGCTGGAATTATGCGTACGTATTTCGAACAACATATGCAGAAATGGAGACCTTTCATCAAATATTAATAATTGCACGATGTATTTCTAAATAGTATGTCAGCGAAACTGCTGCGTTTTCAGAATATTTGCACAATTAAATTGCTGTCGTGTCACGACGAGCCGCCGCTACGAGGCGTCTCGTACTCGTAAGTAAAATTCACGCGAGACACGAGATCAAAGCAGGCCCAGCGGTAAACGCGCCCCACGCAAAATCTCTTTTAAACATTTATTACACGTAACTGTGTTGCTGGGCAATTTTACTTCTAAATGTCGAAATAATTGTGCATGATTTATCTCTTAAATTGAGATTATCAATTTTTGGGTAAATACCATTTAGAAATTTTATTCCTACAAAATCGCTGCGTTTTGGCGAATCACCTTAATGCAAACATTGTGAAATTTTCTCCTTTTGGATGATGCAATTATTACAAAATATTTGAGACATTTTCCTATCGGGGTAAAACGATATACCCACGAACCACTCATTCTGGTATTATGCGCGTAACGTGTTATGTACTATTATAGATTTGCACATAATACGTCATTCACATATAAGTTGTGAGAAGTGTTTCTTCGGAAAACACACGTACGTATTTCGCAGAACGAGCAAAACTGTAATGAACGAAAAAGCCCTTTTTTACTTCGTAAATCACGAATGTTTGAAAATGAAGAAATCCTTCGCGAACTGTTAAATAACGGAGACTTATTCCTCGATTGATCTCACGATCGTTTTCTGTGCAAAAATGAAGCATGTCTCTCATACATACACATAACTCGACGCTGTCGGATCATGCGTGAAATCCGTTTTATTGCGAAACTTCTTCATCCTCAAAATGTACCGGAATATTACTCTGTCTGCTTGAATACATATTGATCATTGCATGGCTCGTGCTTGCAGGCGTGTCTAACATGGCTTACTTTGCTGACGAGAATCAGAATCATAATAATTCAGGTAGGTCTTAACAAACATCACCCGCCTTTCGAAATTATCATTCTATCATCAGAACGTACGACCTTTCCTCTCTTCGCCGAGCGTACTTTTCCGATCATTGCAATTAACCCGTGCGCAACATGACTCGCAATTTTTTTGCGTATACATAGATTGCCCCAGCAAGATATGTAGCCGAGTCATTTATCTTCGTAAAGAAACGGGTTAAAGGGACTAAAGATTGCACTGGTCGATAACTGAATCAGTCAATTTTTTTTTAAATCCACTTCGACTGGACACAAATGACACAATTGACTATTAAGGGGAAGGTTTACTCTCTAAATTTTTTGGAGTGGAATCTCACTCTTTTGGAGTGAGATTTTACGGTATTCCGGAGTGCTAACGACTTTAAAAACAAGAGCGAAATTCTTTTGTCTTAGAGTGCGCTAGAATTAATTCACTCTATTGGAGTAAACGTTCACTCGAATAGAGTGAAGTGGTCAGTGAGCCACGATTCGAGTGAAAATTTCACTCCAAAAATTTTAGAGAGTACCCCTTCAAATTAATAGCTTTTAATTCTTCTAATCCGTTTCTTTACAGGGATAAGAGCAATGACTCATTCACGTATCTCGCCGGGACAACCTCACGTCAAAATAATATAACAAACACATGCATACACTAACCAAAAAAATTGTTTAACTAAGTAAATAGATTTACTTAAAATTATTTTTTTTTGCTGAAGTAACTATTTATTCTATTTAAATAAAAATATCAAGTTTCAAGTAAATCTGTGTATTATATTAATAATTAATAAATTAATTTAAATCATTACATTTTCTATATTCAAATAAAGATTTCATGAGATAGAGAATATTATTTCTTAAATGAAATCATTGTTTTTGTCAAATAAGAAATTCGATTTTCTTCACTGTAAAACTTATAACTTAGTAAACATTTTATAGAATTAAAGTAAAATTTTTTAAATTTAAATTTATCTACTGTTTGATATTTAATAAATACTTAAGTTAAAGAAATGCATGTTTTAATTTGTTTATTATTTTTTAAGTATTAGGAGCCACGTAATGAATAATTTTCTTAAATAAAGTAATATTTTTTTGGATTAAAATATTTTTATCAGTGTAAGTACGGCATACCATAATAATGTGTTCTCATTACGAACTCTCTAAAATTTGTGGAGTGAAAATACTGCCATGGAGTGAAATGTTCACCCTATTGGCGTGAATATTTCCTCCAACAGAGTGAATATTAACTCCAATGGAGTAAACATTTCACTCCATGGCAGTATTTTCACTCCACAAATTTTAGAGAGAAAGAAGTATAGATACGCTTTTCGTAGAGGTCCGCAATCAATAAACCAATAAGATTCAGCTACTTTGTTATAAATCGTCGTCGTTACTCTGTATAGGGAACTCCTGGAAGTCCAGTAGTTCTGAGGGGAGCCGAGACATGCAACCCTTCCTGCAAAACTCGAACAACGCCACGCCGGGCCCGCAATCCGGCGAGGCTCCCAAGTATCTAGAATTGTTAGCAGACAACGAAGATATCGTCCTAAGGGAGAATCCCGCCAACGGTTACGAAATACCTCGCTCGATCCACATCTCGGATCAGAATCTCGCGAATATAAGCAGGATCAGTTGCACGAGTCACGATCGTAAGAGCAGTCTGCCTACGGAGGCCACGGACGAGCGCAAGGAACGCTCGACGGAGGAACGGAAGCAGTCTGACAGGAAGCTGTACAAGAGATCGTCGATCAGCAGTCTGAACCTGCCGGATCGAAAAGGCACGTTGGTTTCGGGAACGTCCGAGAAATGCAACACCTTGGACAGCTCGAAATCAGTCAACTCGGTCGCAAAGGCGACCCTGAAGAGGGACTCCTTCTCGTCGTTGAACGGCCAGCGGAAGTACAAGACCAGCTTGTGCGAGCGGAGGGACTCCGAGGCGAGCATCGAGGATAGGAGCTGCAGCTCGCACAGCCTTGCGCCCTCCACGCGTCCCAGCTCGTCTCTCATCAATTCGCAGACGGTCCTGCCGTGCCTGAACGCCGTTGTCATGGGCGCCGTCAACGGGGAGGTGCCTTCGAGCGAGAGCGCGGTGACGAAGAGCACGCTGCCGAAGGTCCAGAGGACGCACTCCAACTTGCAGAACGGCAAGGCGAACATACCGCTCGTGATAAACAGCGCGTTGCTCAATCTCCTGCGGCAGACGCCCGTCGAAGACGGCGGCAGTATCGTCACGTATACGAATATAAACGCGGACGCTGTCAGAGTGAATGGGTCGTGAGTCGCCGCCGATCGGGGCAAATTTCGCTTTCTGTACAAAAAGAAAAATAGGTGAGGCTCGTACGAATCGCGAGTTCTCTGAGCTTGAATGACGTAAATCGAGGCAACTAAACATTTCAACCATTTATGAAATATGGTAACAGATTTCTACATCGCACATATTATTTTTGACGCAATATTTTTAAGTGGCTCCCGTAGTAGACTTATTCTTCTCCAGAAGCTATGTCCAGTTGTGGATTTGCCTTGTAGCTCGTAAAAAAAATTACTCGAGACAGTCGCTACGATTTTTGCTCAAATTTTTGTTTGTTTTTTTTCTTTCGTTTTATTCTAACGCGGTGCCTTAAATATATCAAACACATGCGCTCATACATTAAGCTCTGCTTTACATTAATGTCCAAGTATTTCATATGTGAAGAGGAATGCGCGAAGCGGAGTTAAGAATAGCTTTAAACTGCCATTTTAATGTACATACATGAATTTTATACTCAAAAATTTGTCACGCTGATATGGCAGGTCATTTCGGAACGTATAAATTTTGCGATTTCAATAATAATCGCAAAACTGTTATTTAATATAGGAGTAATACGTTGATGCAGAACGATAAATGTGAGATATATATATATATATAGTTTAACTTTATAATTACACAATTTTAAATAACATATTTATTGAATAAAATCTGTGGAACTTTTCACTGTTCATTGTACAAATTTCATGTTTAACAATAATTAGTAAATACGGAAATCAATATAAGAAATTGTTAAGTTTTCTGCGTAGTTTTAACAATACGAGAAAGTGTACGTGTAATTTTATTAAAAGGATCAGCTAGAGTGTATAAAATCTTGCGAGGTCTACGCGACGGACTGACTACACTTGAAATTTGTATTTTAGCTTTAGAGGAAAATAAATTGTGGATCGACGAATACTAAATAATTGTAAATAATATATTACAAATAATACATTCGAGATTTATTTTTTACCTACACGAGTTACATACGCGATACATTTCAAACTCTACAAGGGCACTAAATAAACGCCACAGAAAAATGTACAAAAGAGAAATGAGGTATTATTCTCCTTTTCTTGCGGTGACTAAATAAATTTTGGACTTGCAAAATATATTTCAGAGACTCACGATTTTAAAAAAATCCTATTTTATACATGTATAATACTAATATGCGTTTAAACAGTTCCGAGAGTTCAAGAAAGATTATGAATAAAACTTTGTATCTACATATATGTATACTGGATTTTCCTCTCCATAGACTGTCTTGTTACTCTTGATTTTCACAGCTTGATTTCTGTGTCAGTCTTCGTGCATATTCATCTTTCTGGATATTCATTTCCTACCGGAATAAGAGATTTCTGAAATTGCAAGTGTACAGACATCCTTTCGATTACACGAACGAAAGAATTAGGGCCGCAATATTCAGTCATGTGCAACAAGACAAATTGAAATTTAATTTGAAACGTGAGCCTTACCCTAAGTCGCATTCGTAAGTGGTACATCGTCGTCGAAGGAGTCGTCCTTGCTGTGTTCGTGCAACAGAACGTATTCCCTGGTGCTGAAGCCAAACCGCACCACGTCCTTCTCTAATAATTCGTGATACCTCCTCGGTTCTAATTTGATATTATTTACAAAGGTGCCGTTCGCGGACTCCAGGTCAATAATATACGGCCGTATCCTTCTGCCCTCGATGCCGCCTTCCTTTTGGTAAGAGACTACACGATACTGCAGAGCGGCGTGCTGCTTGGAACACGAGGGATGGTCCAGGGGTATGTCGGCCACCTTGCGATCTCTGCCCATGAGATACGCCGACTGCCGATGTATGTACAACGTGGGCAGCGCCTTCTCGCCCTTGAAGGGATACAATCGCCACCGGCGCTTGGGTTTCTTGGCGTCTTCCGGCTCGGAGTACTTGACGACAACTCCGTTGACGGTGTTCATGTCCTCGGTCAGCTTCCCCGACAGCTCGAAGTTGGGCTTCTCCTTCTCCTTGTCCTCCTTCCCGGCTGACTTGCCCCACTCCGTGGAGGATTCCCTCTTCGACCGCATCTCCTCCGGACTCCGCTTCTGCCTGTGCTGATCATTCCGCCTCCTCGACTCGTCCCTTCTGTCTCTGCTTCTACTCCTCTCGCCACGCTCCCTGTGCCTGGGATGACTGTTCTCCCGCCTCAACGGCGATCTCTCGTGCTTCCTCTTCTCCCCCTGTTTGTCGTCCTCCCTCCTCGAGTGGTCGCGTCTGCCGCCCCTGTGATCGCGCTCCCTGCTTCGCTGCGATCTGTCCCTGTGCGCCTCGTTATTCCTGTCGCGCCGGTTTTCCCTGTTGTTCTTATGCGCGTCCCGTCGCTCCGCCGCGTGACTCGATCGCCAATTCGACATACTTTCCAGTTCCGCTGGCGAGCCGAATTCTAAACTGTGGAGCAACGTCGAATCAACAACCTAACCTAACTCGGACTTACGTGGTCAGATTAATCGCAGCGAAATCGTGACAGGTCGCGACGTCGCACACGCGTGACAATTGTACCTCGAGAACGGCGCGCGTACGTTCCTCCGCCAGCACGATCCGTCCTATGATTTTCGCGTGTATCAACGGTATCAAAGAGATCCGCACGAACCCACGAACCGCGCCATGAGCGAACGCGAGCGTCTCCAAAACCACCGAACCAATCGCCAGCGCTCGTAGCGCTCTCCGACTCTCCCGGGAACTTTCGGAGATTCCAAAGCGAGATTTTCGAGCTCCCACTCTCGCGCGCGATGTAGGATGTTAGCGAAGTAGGAGAAACGACATCAATTACCGTCTCGCTTTCCTGGGACAACTTTGATTGCGATTTATCGCTTTTCATGTGTCGCGAGGGTCACGCGGAATATCTCTTCTTGTTATATAATGCACAACACCGTCAAATATCCTTCTTTCTTTCAACTTTATCGAATATCTTACGATGTTTTTCCTTATACGTTACCGAATACTTCACGACTTTTTCCTCTTATCGTTTAAATATCGCTTTTAAAAATTATTTAAAATCTTTTTCGATTATTGTTGAACAATTTTTCCCTTCATTACTTAAAAATGGAAATGATATGCGATTTAGATATCGAGTATCCCAGATAGCACACATAGTTCTAGGATTCTTCTCGAGTGCAAATATTCTTAATTTCAGAATATTCGAATCGAATATTCTATAAATATGTATATAGATTATTACAATTGGAAATCGTATATTCATAACAAAGACGAACGTTTTTCGAATATTCGTCGAGAATGTTTTTGGAAAATTCTTTCAGAGTAAATTTTTAATATTAACTAATTAATACAACTTTTGATATTTATCGAGTTTATGTATTGCACATTGTTTATTGTGTAATACACTCAGCTTATGCAAAAGACAGTGAAACCTGTGATCACACAATTAGAAATCGTATATTCATAACAAAGAAGAACGTTTTTAGAGTATTCGTCGAGAATGTCTTTGGAATATTTGATCGGAATAATTTTGTAATATTCGTCGAGTTTATGTATTGCACATTGTTTATTGTGTAATACACTTACCTTAGGGCAGTGAAACCTGTGATCATATCATGTACATATAACCGACACATTATATTCGATAGATTATTCTATTCACATTCGAAAAAAATTTATAGTAGTGCCAGTCGAATGTTCCACAAGCATAAGATAAATATATAAGAATGATCGATGGAATATTCCAAATATTCTTGATGAATATTCCTAAAATGTTCATAAGAGTGTCTTGTGCTATCTTGGATTATGGCAACTTATGTATATGTATAAATTTCACGATCCAAATAGCACAGGTAATCATGATATAAACTCAAAAGGGATTCACTTTTTAAAATTCTTTATGAATAAACGTATCCCAGTGAGAATTAAACGATTCGTCGTTGTCGAAACGATGTCATCAACGTCGACACCGTCAAACTGACGTCGTATCGACGTTAATTTGACAGTGTCGACGTCGGTTCTCGCTGGGATTCTGATCGAAACGAGTTTCCAAAGAGAATTTCCTTCCAACGCGAATTCTTTTAGAGTGTGAAAAGAATTAATTTTGTATCTGAAAAGAAGTTCACAATTGGTAACACAAAAGCGAATTCCTTTTGAATTCGCAAGTATGCTTTTCTTAGAACAGAAATGGGATTGAAAAAGAATTAATTTCGTCATTCGAGAATTCTTTTTAGATTCTCCGTTGTTCGCGCGGAGAGAATTTTCTCTTAAAGTTTACCCTGAAAATCGTGTAATCGTGGCATTTTAAAGGCCTTTATGAGAG